ATGTACATTTTAGCTTTTCTCAAGCTTCCTAAGTGAAAATGGGTCCCAGAATATGAACAAGCCATCACCTCCTGCCTCCCATCTATGTCAACTCAGCCAGGGAAGCAACCACACAGGTTCAGTGGAGGCAGGGGAGGGCTGAACGCTGGCTGCCCGCCTTGTCTCATAGACCTTCCTGTGCTCTGTTTACAGTACTACACCGAGGAGACAGTTTACGAGGAGGTGCCAGGAGAGGTAAGACTCAGCCCACACTTGCATGAACTGATCCTCATTAGAGAAGAGCCTCTTTCTTCCTTCAGAGCCAGAAAGATGGAGAACTGGAATCTCTTTAGGGAGCTCACTCTCCTGCCTGTGCCCAGAAGTTGGTATTAAAAGACCATACTCCACATTTGATGGGTGAATTCATATGTTTTTATGTTCTGCTTATCCCAGATGGCAAGAAAGGGTTCCCTACTGGTCATGGCATGGTTTTTTGAGTGTGGATAAGTTCAAATGAAGGCCATGTCAATGGCTGCCTTCTCTCCTAGACTGTTACTTGAGGGTTGCCTAGGAGTTGTGATTGGCAAAGCCTAGCAGTTTTGTTGAATAAAGTTGTAGGGTAAAGTCTCTCCCACTAGGAGTGGTGCTCCTGAGAATTCCAAACAAAAAAAAAAAAAACAAAACAAAAAAAAATGAATTTTTTTTTCTTGGTAACAATTTCAAGTTGGAAATCCCCCGGCCTCGTACTTTACTTTCTGCTTGGAGCTGTTTCTCTTTGAGCATGATGCATACTAATCAAAGCAGCAAACTGTGGCACTTGGGCAAAGAGCCCGTGACTGGATCACAACTAACCTTGGTGGTTTGATTGGTTTCTCACACCCAGTCATGCTTTAGTAATAATAGACCAAGTGTAACCAATTAACAGTGGGACTTGTCAAATTTACAGTCACCTAAGCAGATTTCTCTTCCTCATGCTGATGCTAAAATTCTGCTTTGGATTGGAGATCTTTGCCTTCAAGGATGTGATCTTACACAGTTCATTGAAGCTTACCCTCTTCCCCTGTGTACCATACTTCCAACCTTGAACTACATTCAAACCTTGAATCTTAGTTTTTCTGTCACAGGCTGCTGTAAGAAACAATGCCTTCCCAGCTACTGCATAGCTAAAACTGTTTAGAGGATACTTGCCCATTGTGCCACCACCAGTGTTGTGATCCCCGAGTAAATGGAGATCTAGTTCAGATTAATGAACTGAGTGAAGAGAACAATACAATACTGATGTGATTCATTTTTTAAGGATTTTGTTTTTCCCCATGATATATAGAATGACTATAGGAATTGTAACTGGTCTTTCTTATTCACTTAAATGTTAGTGTCAAGAATTTAAGCTTTATTTTTAATAACCTTTCATTTCCAGGTCTCCTTTTGCTTTTTCTTGATCTAAACCACTTGAAAAAATTCTTACTGTTTTGTTTTATTTTGATGGTGCTGGAGGTTGAACATTGGATCTTGTACGTGTTAAGCAAGGGCTCTACCATTGAGCTACAACCTCAGCCCTCACTTAAGAAGACATGATTAAGACTATTTCTGATTTTTTTATATTCCATTAAGGTATTTGATGAGTTCTCTGAAAATACAGGTTACAGATGATGTCACAGTCAATATCCAGGCTATGCATGTTACGTGTCTTCATATGGATGTATGAATATAGTGTGTATCTTCCTGCCTTGGCTGGTTTTGTGTATGGAAAGGGAAGACCAGGGATGTCAGACTGACTGAAATGAGAACATTATACCCCAAGGTCATTGTATTAGGTTTTACTTCATAGCCATATGTTTCACTTTCAGACAATTACAGAAGTCTATGAAACTACAACGACAAGGACATCTGACTATGGCCAATCAGAAACTTCCACACCAGCGCTGGTACAGCCACAACCAGCAAGACCAGTGGAGCGGAAGAAGGTCATCCGAAAGAAGGTGGACTCGTCCAAGTTCATGACCCCCTACATCGAACACAGTCAGAAAATGCAGGATCTTTTTAGCCCAGTAAGTCTTCACTGCCACCTCCTATGCTGGTTGTATGATTAAGAAGTTACTGATCAATTTTGTAGAAATGTGTCTTTTATGTGTGACTCTGGATTTTTGAGTAGCTCATTCACGCCATTGCAACATCAGGAGGAACTGTTATCGCAAGATAACACAGGAGTCCAATTATAAAATATGTGTTGCATAGCCAATCCACAGCAATGGCAACACAAACATGAATATTTTATTTCTTTACTTATTTACTGGAAGTGTGTTCTTAGAAGTTGCACAATTAAACTGTCTAAGTGCAAGAGCCTCATAGAGTAGCCAGTAGCATAAACAATTACAAAATGGCGACAAGAAGAAGAACCTGTGATTTAGAAAACCAAGATCAGACTGAATTCATTAGAAAGTGAGGGGCAGAGAGTATTTAAGGGTAGCCCAGAACCATGGGTTTTCTGCACAGCTACACAGTGGGTTCTCCTACAAGATCTAAAACTACCAGTGCTCAGGGCATTCTTGTTTAACTAGTCTGAGGGTCAGTCTGGTACAAAAGGAGTCTTCAAAGCTGCCAGGTGTCCTCACATGCATCCCAGACTGAGGATGATTGACGAGTCAATGTTCTCTGCTTCTTACAGTCCCAAGACAGTCCTATAACACACAGTGCCTGCCAGAAGAGCCACACCTATTACAGTAGATCTGATTTGTTGATTTCCATGGCAGGCTAAGGTCTCTCTAGGGAACTTGATTCTGTGTGATCTAGATGCTTGAAGAAAATGCACTGTAGTTCAGGAGGACATCACATTATGCAGGGCCGAAACCAATGCCTAAAGCTTTCGTGTGTGATTGGTCTCTAAAGATTCGATTTTGATTGTATTAACTCCTGGAGATTATGAAGTAAATTTCTAATTTGGATCCTTGAATGATCTAACATGAAGGGTTCTAAACAAGAATTTCTTGCCTCCTCTCTGCAGTGTTCAATAAAGACAAAATTATCTCATTAATTTATTGCCATATAACCTCATTTATTTGGACATTAGGAACCTGGAATTTCTGATATTCTGAGTGGAGTGCTGCCAACCCCCCACAGATTGCCAGTGGTTGGTGACTAAATCAGCAGTATAATTTAAATTGTCGACTACTCAAGAATATTATTTGAGGGCCTTGATAGTTATAAATGATGCATATTATTACTAAAGAGAGGATCTGCTGAATAGCTGGCAGAAATAATAACTTTGCATGTCATTATAAAATAGTCCACAGTTCAGGCTTCCCATTAATTCAGCTAGCATCATAGTTCTGTAACCACTGCAGTTCAGCTGCAGCTTCCAAAGTGAGGATTTTTTTGCATTGTATTAGCAATTAAATCTTTTCAGGCCTAACTTGTTTTCTAGAATAATTGATACTCAGGCTTTTGTATATGTGTGCAACCAAAAAAAAAAATCAAGAGAATTATCTTAGGGCATGTTCAAGACAATTGTCTGTAACAACACTTCAGGATCCTATGCTGTTAGGAGGGACAATTAGTAAATCTATTTTAGTTTTTGCTGAGAGGGCAGAATGAAAGCTGTCACAACCGATAATTGTTATTCCTTAAAAGATTTAGAGAAAACAATCAGATGAGGATATGTGTGTGTGGCCTGAACTTTCTGCTGCTGTCTGGTCACGTTCTGGGCTAATATCCAGTATTCTTTTCAGAATAAATACAAAGAGAACTATGAGAAAGCAAAGGGACAGCCATACGCCATCACAAACGATACTCCAGAACTTCGCAGAATCAAGAAAGTCCAAGATCAACTCAGTGAGGTGGGCTTCATTCCTCAAATAAAGGAGGGAGCATTGTATAAATATGCCTGGCTCTGGGAGCCTGGGACTCTAAGTGTGGGGGGAATAAGGAAACAAATCCCTCTGAGCTAGTTCAGACATCTAGATATGGCATTAGCCATGAATCTTGTGTGCTCCGAATGAACTCAGAGGGACTTTGAGAAACTTGGTTTAGCAATCAAAGAGGAGACTATCTTCCATCTATGTTTTGAGAGACAGTGGTCCTCCACGTGGAGTACAGTGAAGCTGAGAAGCCTCAGGCTGTAAGTTCAGCCAGCAGAGCAGACAAGTAGTAGATGCAGATTCTCTGTGGATCTTCCTAGCTAAAATTCAGGATCTTTGCTTTGTGATGTGGACATATAGTCTTTGGCATATAAAAGCCTTAGATCATGAAGTTCAGGCATGTGTTGTTCCTGCAGGTTAAGTATCGAATGGATGGAGATGTTGCTAAAACTATCTGTCATGTGGATGAAAAAGCAAAAGACATTGAACATGCTAAGAAAGTGTCGCAGCAAGTCAGCAAGGTAAGGTCATGTTGATGGGTGGACCTGGGATATTCAACAGCATGCATAGTACCCATTTCTGTGTGAATTGACAGCCACAGTCCTGCTCACAGATAATGTGAACTGGATGTTTACATGCAACAGCAGGCTCCACAGAGGACTGAAGTGGCCTAATCCACCTGGGGGTGGATTAAAGATTTCTTGACTTGCCTGAAGAGGCATTTGCTACTCTAATGGAGGAAGGGTGGGATGCTGCAAAAAGTACAGTCCTGATGTCTTGTTTGTTTATGTATTTATTGCAAGATAAAAACTAAGATTTTATTTGCTGTTTAAACTTTGAAATAAATTTGTAAGTTATCAGATGTTGGCATTGAAAATCAAAAATTTTCTTCCTTTTTTTTCTTTTTTTGGATATTCCTTTTTCATTAATTAATTAATTAATTAATTTTAAAAATTATTCTTTCATACATTACATACTGACTACAGTTTCCCTTCCCTCCACTCTTCCCAGCCCCTACCCCAGATCCACTCCTCAAAAAAAAAAAAAAAAAGAGCAACCCACCATGTTTATTTTTGAAGGAATTTAGAAAGAAAATTTTTATGAGAAATTTCCAAATTCAAATGTGGGCAGCTAATTAAAGAGTTGTAGAATATCATGTAGGTCAAAAGAAAACTGAATTAATTAGCCGATCGCAGTCTTTGAAAGAAATTGAAAATCAGAATCATAAGGTGTTGTTGTTGTTACTGTTGTTGTTTAGCAAAAGCTTACTGATGCTGAGAAGGAATACCGTGTTGGCGTGGTCAACACTTTCCTGGTAACCCGTATCAGCCACCTTTGTGTGAAGCCAACTTCACTGTTCCGTCTGACAAGCCATAGTCTATCCATTTTCTCTCTAGGTTTTATATAAGCAGAACTGGGAAGACACCAAGGATAAGTACCTGCTTCCCCCTGATGCCCCTGAACTTGTCCAAGCCATCAAGAACACAGCCATGTTCAGTAAGGTGAGAAGGGCTAGCTCTTTTTTAACATCCCATCGCACACTCAGAGCCATAGCTGCTGAACTTTGGACAACTTGGAACACAGTTTCTCGGTGGTTTTGCAGTAGCCTCAGGACTTGTATGGGGCTATGACATGACAGGGGGGACTCTCAGATCCTGTTGAGGAGCGTGCTTGGGCAGAGTGGAAGAGAGTCCCTGGGGAACCTGAACAACCTGTGGGTGGGAATATAACATGGAGGGAATTAAGATTAAGATCTTTCAAAAGTAGGACAAGCTACTAACAAAAATAAATGATGTGCACTGGATGGAAAGGGGGAGGTTGTCTGTGACCTACCCTGACCCTGGCTCTCACTTTGCCCTTGGTGCCTCATGTCATCCATGGAGTTCAAATGATGTATTTCATGTATTGCTTGTTTTCTCAATGTTTCTTGCTCTTCTCTGATCTAGAAACTGTACACTGAAGACTGGGAAGCAGACAAAGGATTGTTTTATCCCTATAATGACAGTCCAGAGCTGAGGAGGGTTGCCCAGGCCCAGAAAGCCCTTAGTGATGTAAGTGAAATACACTGGGTACCATCTGAATGTGGGGTCGGGAAAGCCTGGGCCATGTCTTTAGGTCCTTAAGAAAGATCCAAAGTCATTATTACAGAGTACTACATCTAAAGTCAAATTTATTATGAGTCTTTATCTCAGCTATAATTCATACTTTATATTAGACATAATTTAGCCCAATCCCTTCTTCTTTTATGTGAGGAACCTAAGCTCACATCAGTAGTGGCAGAGTCTAGACTTAAACCCCAAAACTAATGTTCTTCCCACCAAACCATGTATCATTTTCCCCCTCAGCTCAGCCAAAGTTGTTTTGTGATGATGGAGGAGTGACATTTTTAAAAACAGCCATTGGAGTCACATCCCTCCATTTCCAAGTACACTAAGGGAACACACTCATTTCAGAGTATTTATCTCTGCCCCACCATCCGTCATCCCCTGAATGGAATGTTTCTCTCTTCTGCCTGGGGACTCTTGAAACCTGCTTACACAGTTCATCCACTGAGAGAGCCTGGAAATTCCTTATGTAGGGTCTATTTTCAGAGTTAGTTAAATATCAGCAGGCCACTTTCCAGGATTTGTATGTCTCTGGTCTTGAAAATAGTATATTAGAGGAACTTTAAAAGAACTCTTAAACTCTTTAGCACTGGAAACAACCACAGCAGAGTCCCATACCCTTGTTTTGAGGTTTGTTTTTTTTTTTTTTTCTTCATTCTTGGGTTTACTGGAAGCCTTCTAGATTTACCAAAGATCCAGGCTTTGGCAGAGAACTATGTTATGAAATGGCCTGTTATCTGGTATTCAGTTTTCCTCCAGACTAACTCAATATAGATTTAACAAAGCATTAAGACTTACATGAGATATACTTCCAGTAGATGCTAGGGTCCCAGATGAACCAACATCACTGTTTTACGATGTCTTTAGCTTTGAGGTCTACTATTTGCTGCCTTTCTTTGCTATCACCTGCAAATTTTAATGGATTTGTTTTGATTCAATTTTTGATTAAAATTCAACTCATACAAATTCGTACTTCCATAGGGCAGGTTAGGAAAGAAATCAAAATGGGACTTTGAAGTCACCTAGCACACTGTACCAATTTTAGAATGTATGTACTTCATACTTCTCTTTTAAGATAAACATTTTGGCTTTGTATCTCACAAATTCACAATTTTGTGTTAAGGTCATATTCTGGCTGATGAATAACTTATAATGATGATATATGTGGTTTTTATTTCAAATGAGTGAATGGATATGTAGCAAAAAAAATGAAGTAACACGTAGTAAATAGCAGATAGGTAGCAGAACATCAACTTAGGTACTTACAACATCTAGCAGGAATGAGTGGAGAAGCCTTCTGAAACATTTATACAGGGTTCCTGATCGAGAGTTGCAGGCAGAATGTCTTCTCTATGGATGAGCTTCTGACTTCCTGTTCCCGCTGCAGATATTCCATACCACGGCATAAATAACAGTGGTTGGAAATGGATTGCCTTCTGCCTGTTCAGAAGGAAGCTGTTTGATGTTCTGTCTTCTTGTTGCAGTGTCAGGGGCTAGCCTGTCCCTGGACAAGGAAAGGAATCTCAGAGGACATGAGATAAACGCTCTTAGGTCCAAGAGAAGCCTTGTTCATAGTACAGGTCCTTATTAAGTAATAAATAGCTATTTATTGAAAGTCTATTATATATGAATTTATAGTAGGATACAAAAGCTTATCCTTTTCCTTTAAAATATCATACTGGCAAGATAAAAGTATTATAGATCAAATAAAAATAAAAAGACCAGAAATGTCTGATCATTGCTATGAGAAAGGAGACACCGAAGAGATGATAGAATCTGGGTGATGATGAGGAAAGACATTTCAGGTGCAGGAACGACTTAATCAAAGGGGAATGGTGACCTGCTTCTAGGGTGTTAGAGGACAATCAAAGTAGGCACCTAGCTGTATGGTTCTTATTAAATTGCTAGGGCAGGACCTTAAGAATCAGACTGATGTACGAGTCTGGGCAATAAGTCATCATGAGGTGCACATGAGGACAACAGGCCAATGAAATAGAATCTGAAGAAGCTCGTGATAGTCAGATAGACCAAGGAAAAACTCGAACTTGTGAGTATTCATAGAACTCTAATTTGGCAGTATAGATGCATCAGAGGGAAAGAAAGGAATCATAAGATAATAAATATTAAGCGTGAATGACAATGAATATTGGAGACAAAGGAGAGAATGGAGCCACAGGAAAGTTTATTACCATATAATGTATGTGCTTAAACATATGTATTGTGGAGAAAGAAACAGATGTGAAATGATAGAGAAAATGTTTAGATCAAGGCATTCTATAGTTAAAGTAGATGTTGAGGCTGTGAAATCCTCATAGATGTGAGTTCAGGATAAGAACAATGTTTTAAAGCCCTCAGAATGAATGTGATAGCTGAAGACAAGAAATGTATGAGGGAGGCAGAAGAGTAGCAGGCAAGGACAGACTCCCGGAGGACAGTCATCTGCAAGGCACCTAGAAAGGAGCCAGCACAAGACAAGCAAACAGAAAGTGAAGGGTAGTCTGGAAATGCCATGTCATGTAGGCACAGGGGGAGTTGTCCAAGAAGATACTCTCTGTACACTTCCCTTTCTCATAAAACAATGACTAAGAAATGTCTCCATACCACTTAAAGTTGGCTATGCATTTGAGATATCCCAAAAAAGGAACATAAGAAAGAACTTAAAATAATGAACCAAAAATCTCCACTCTCACTCTGCAGTTAGGAGACAGTTTTTATTTTTATTGCTGACCAAATATGCACCAAGTATCACGTTACTAGTATGGCTATTAATACTATTGTTAGCAACATGAGCTTTGCAGTGGCTAGCTCAGAGACCAGGGCGAGCTGTTGTCTACAGAATATATTCCTGTGTGCACACGTAGCCTTCAAGCAGGGGCCTTATATTTAGTCACTCTTGTTCTCTCTCTACCTTATTTCTACATCTCTATACTATACTATTTACTATTTACTATTTACCATGTTTTCCTGTTATCTAAATAGAGACCAAAGAGTTTGCAAAGATTAAGAATGTCTTTAAACCGATCTGGAACACAGAATTCTAACCAGACAGAACTCTGAGCATTGTTTCTGGAAAATAGAGACTTGGTGATCTGATTTCTCAGGAACTTTTGGACGGGTTGTCACAGTCACACTTGATTAGCATTTCTCCTGTTTGAATGCTACTTCCTCTTTAAGGACTTGTCAGTCATGGAAAATTCCACTTTCCTTTTACCCAAAATAAAGTTTTATGTATTTAAATTAAGCAGGGGAATGTATACATATTATCCACTTTTTAAAAAAGTCTTTTATATCCCAGTTAACTTGATGACAGTCATGAAAGCTGGTGTTATAAGTACTAGATTGATACTATTAAGAGACATTTAGACCTGGTTAAGTATAAGATGATTGTGGTCTTGGAATGAGCCAATTTATTTTTTTAATATAAATAAGAATGCTGTCATGTTGAAGAGAAGGTATTGTGTTAGAAGAGTTGGGAAGATGATGTTCCAGTCTGGACTTCTGCTGGAGGCAGTCCCTGACGGTTCCTACTAGTTAGAAGATTCAGGAAGGCAGGAAGAAAGAAGAAAAGAAATGAAGGGGATCTATGATTCATATATACCAGCCTTTTTAAAAAAGACAATAGAAGCTTTTATAGGCTGAAAGGAAGGCGGAAATAAGCAGGGAGAGATGGAAGCTCTGAGACCGAGCAGGGACAGCTGATGGAGCTACGCACAAATGGCAAGCTAGGAACTGGTAGAAAGCTCAGAAGGCCCATGAGGACTGCTTCTTAGAGCCAGAGCAGAAGGTCAGAGATAAATTATAAGTGTAAAGCCCCTCCTTTCCCTACAAGAGAGACAATTGGAGTAGCATAGAGTTGACTGAAGATTTACAGAAGTGTTGGAGTCAAGACCTACTTCTAGGAGTCTGGACACATCATGGGATGTTCAAGTTTCACTGATGACAACGTGGTAGTTGGACATCATAAAGTCATAGAGTGTTAGACACAGATTCCCAGGCAAGTCCCAGTTCACAGAACAGAAAATTGGGTAGATGACCTTAGAGTTCATGTTAGGTGCTTCGGCTTGAAGACTTACTCCCATACATCTTGTTCATAAGCCCTTCTTAACCCCACTTACAATGTTAGCATTATCCCATTGGTAAGTGTGTGTGATTCTCCTTCACCACTCAGCATCCTGGGTTAAAGAATAGGATGATATGTAATTAAGTTATCCAGAAGTGGGCATGGTTAAATAGGTATGAAGAAAAGACATGATCGTTGAGGATGTTAGTGAAAAGAAAATGTGCCATTGCCAAGGATGCTGTGAAGACGGATGCAAAGAAACAGGTCAAGGACCAAGAATCCTTAAGAAGAGAGAGGAATCAAACAGAAATGAGTGGGAGTTCCAGGAGGCAGGGCGTGTAAACCAGGAGACAGCCATGGTTCCATAGTGCACAATGATTCAAGCCTGAGAGAGAAAAACATTGGCGTTGTTAAAAAAGGCTGACCAATGAATGCAGTATGAAAAAGAGGGCTCTTTTTCAAACACACGTGAACATTCTTGCCTTTTACTTTTTGTCAGATTGCCTACAAAAAAGGACTCACCGAGCAGCAGACTCAGTTCACATCCTTGCCTGATCCTCCGGATATAGAATTTGCCAAGAAAGTAACCAATCAAGTGAGCAAGGTAAGTGTAGGGAGGCGGATAAACCCTGTCTCTCTTGGAAACCTACTGATGGTGAACATAAAGAAGAAACACAAACACTAGGGGTATGATTGTATATTCCCTGCCCCCCTCCAAAAAAAACAACCCTTACACCAAAAACAGTACATGTGCTCATAGCATAAATGACTTCAGTGGTTAGTGAACTTGATGATTCAGTGTTTTTAAATGTCACAGTCACCTCTTGATAAGGCAGCTTATTGGCTTATTGCCACTTGACATTTTCTGAGAAAGATACCCAGGTCAGTGACTAACTTCGCCCTCTGTGGAGGCTGTGGTTTAACTTGGGGGAGTCTTATATCCCCCACACCCTCAGTCAGATGTAGACAGACTAAGTGAGCTCTCAGACAGGGCTCAGTGGCCAGTGGTGGGGCCAACACTTTAGAGCTTTGAAACCCTAGCAAGCTACTTCTTTTGCCTATATTTAGCCAAATAAAGTAACTCACAAGGATGCAGCTGTGCCATGGAATGCAGAGAGACAAGTGTTTAGCTGGTACATAGGCCGAGCTAAGACCTGTTGTAATGAGGTCCCATCAGGCCACTTTCTCTGAGACCTGGCTGCTTTTATCCAGCTTTCTTTTCCTCTGAAAGTCGAGACTCAGTTTCATCTTCTGCTTCAATTTTATTGAACTTCAGGGTTCTTATTTTTTGTTTGTTTGTTTGTTTGTTTGTTTGTTTTTGCTAGAGGTGGGCTCTTGGATAGAGGAGGAGAAGAAAGAAAAGATAAAAATGATGTAATCTCTCCCATCATGTTTTTAGCTTCTCCTTTTGAAGAGTATTTAATGTAAAACCCAGGGACTGAGTAAGTGTAGTAAAATTAATGGGGACACTAGTAACCTTTCCCCCAGGGCTGAGCAGAGATTAACTGGAGGACTTTACATATTGGAATGGCTTCTGGGTGTGTCCATAGCAGAGAAAAAAATAGAACAGAAAGATTGTTTGGGAGAAGTTGTCTTCCATGTGGTCATTTAAAAATAATCCACTTTTAATTTGTATGTAAAGACTAGCTCAGTTCAAGTAGCATTCTTTTTTATCTAATTTGAGCATGCAATGTGAACATTTGAAAGTATCGCTTTCAAACTTTCCCATAGTCACTTTCCACAACACTTTAGGGCTGCCAATGAATTCACTGTGTGCTTTTCAGTATGGCAGCCCTCAGACAAAGCTGACAACTGAGCTCTTAAAACATGACTAGAAAAAACCTGAAAATATTAGGGAATTTGGTCTCCTACAATAAAATCATATGCAGAGTGTCTTAAACAGCAGGCTTTGCCTTCTCAAAGTCTTAGAAAATTGAAAGTCAAAATGAAGTGTCATCACATTAGGAGCTAAGAAGTCAATATATGAATTGGAAGAAGGCACATACATGTATCTATTTCTCTAACACTGAGGGTCTTTCATTCAGGAAGCATAGACTGGACCTTAGATGCTTAAGACGAAGTAAAAAGAAATGTAAAATAGCCCATCATTTTTATACCAACTGTGTGCTAGAATTGGATCTATTGGGTTAAGTAAGATATATTAAAGTTATTTTCCAACCTGTTCCTTTGCATCTTAAGAGATATAGCTTCTGGAATAGCTTGCTGCTAGGTCTATTTGGACCATACACTGTTTTGGAGATGGTGACCCATTATTAGGTACTTGGAAAGAGTTGTCAACCTAAGTTTGACCTTGTCGAATAATCTGAGCATAGTGACTGTAAATGAAGGCCACTGGGTTTGGCCACAGAGACATAATTTATCCAAGTCTTACCCAAATTCCAAATTCTTAGTGTCTGTCGTGCATCAAAAATACAAGTCTATCAAGTGAGAAATATTGTGCATGGTAGGCAGTTCATCCAACAACTGGGCATCTGTAAGACCCGACCCTTGGTCAGTGGTACTTACCTTGAGATGTTCCCAAGGAAACACCAAGATGTAGATTGATACACAAGCAAGTGGTTTATTTTCCAGCACTTCAGGGTCAACCCTCAATCAGTCCCTTGAGGCAAGTGATGAGAAGGCAAACCTGAATGGCTATTACAAGTAGTTTTTATACTTTTTAGGAGCACAGGTTACATCAGCAAGGTTACAGTTCAAATGTATTGGCTAAGCATATTGACCTTTAAATCTATTGACTAGCAAGCATGACACATATTTGAACTCTACCTGGGACTTTCCAGAGGGTCAGGTCATTATCAGTCAGTACAGTCTGAGAATGTTTTACTCAAGAAGATCCCTGTGGATGGAGAATGGAACTTGGCCTAGCCTTGACCACAGGCAGGAGGGAGAAGCTGTAAGGAGGGTGTGGGGCTGGAAAAAGCCCTTAGGGTCCCTCACAACCAAGCACAGAGGCCCAGGCTGCCAAGGGTGAATTCTTTGTGATGCTCTCCCTCGTCTTCCCCACTGTCAGGCTCTTTGAATCCCCACCTGAGCATCACCATAGCAACTTTTCCTCCAAAGTAGATTAAAAATGTCTCCTTCATTGTTTCCCTTTCAGACACTTAAATTCTTGACCTGTCCTCACCAAACTGCCTTCCATGTCTGTTGTATGTCTTACTGGCAAAGGTTGTATTGACATTACATTCTCTTCTTCATCAGCTCTCCCTACTCTCCTTTTTAGAGTATATTCACTTTCCTTTGTCTTTGCCAAAATCATGACCTTCATGTCAGCAGCCTTCCCAGTCTTGGGCCAGACTTAGGTGACAACAGAAGAGTTGTTCTTACAACAGATATTCCAGGCGAGAGAACAGGCTCAGCTGAACATGGATTCTGCATACAGCATTGGGAAGTGCCTTTAGTTTCCCTTTGCCTGGCTCTTTGCTTCCCTCCAGTAGTTTCCAGTCAAAGCTTTTTGAAAACTATGTCTTGCAGTGGCACATTGTTAGAAAACACTGAGCCCTAATCTTTTGAAATATTCTATTGCATTGAACTAGGGAGGCTCCTATGGATATCACCATAAGGCATTTATTGAGTCTCGAAAGTAACTCTGGACCAACTATAGCCAATAAAGAAACCCAGTGAGGATGTCCCACATGCTCTGAAAGATAACTTCTCTGTAAATGGAAGTGACCTGTGGCTCAGCTACTTAGAAGAGATGTGATCAGCTCCTTTTATTTCCTCTCCATTTGATAACCATATAAAAACTACTAGTGCCTATCTGGAAAGTGGGAAATGAAACCATGAGTTTAAACAAGATGCCAGGGAGCCTAATTTGTAGCTCAGTGCCCTTAGCTGACTGGTGGTGAGGAGGGCCTACGGTTTGAGGAAGCAACTACTGTGCCTATTGGCATGTGGTCACCTCCCCCTACAAAGTGGAAATCCAGAATTTAGAACTGCCATTTTCCCCTTTTAAATAAAAGTTTCAGGTAAAGTTCAATCCAATCCTTCTTCTAGGCTGTCATTGATCAACTTCAGGTAAGAGAGAGAGGGAGAGGAGATTAAGGAGAAAGTTTCGGGGTTAGGCAGAAAGTTAGATGCTGGACTTTCGATATGGGAGAGACTTCCCACCCACATGGATACTGCCTGCCTTTTCCTCTACTCTTCTAGTCAGAGGCCTATCCCTTTGACCTCCTTCCTTCTGCACATAAAGGAGAATGAGGAGGGTACCCTCCTCTGCAGTTTGCAAGCTACAGCCGCCCATTCACCCATGCAGTGAGACCCCTTACCGGGACTTGAGCCTAAGCTGTGAGTGATCAGGCCCCAGCCAGACTCACTGCAGGAAGAAACAACAAGCTTTTATTCCTGGAAAGTAAGAAGAGAGGAAGGACCATGGATGAGATATTTAGGTGGTTTTGTACTCTGCTCTTTATCTTGTTTAACTGTTTCCTCAAAAGCCACAAATCTATCTCTGTTGTGAGAATTACACTCCTACTCAGTTCTCCTCAGCAGAGCTACATACCCAGCACCTGGTTCTCTGTAAATAACCCAAGGGCTGGCCAGTAATATTATGTGCTGCTTTTCAACTTGATGTTACAAAGATCTCCGTATAGCAGCTTTTTGATGTATCTGGCTTCATCCCTTTGCCTGAAATCCTGAGCTTCCTGGAGTCCTCCACCCCCACCCCCTGCCACCTCCATGGCACAGAGGCACAGAACCTCAGAAAGACTTAGCTGCTGGAAGATTGAACCCTGAGATGAGGGAGCATCAAAAACTTCTAAAGTGGTCTTTTGTTCTTTGCTTTTTATTTTTGAACATTTTATTGTTTTCCTTATTTAGTTTGATTTTGTTTTTTTGAGACAGAATCTCACTATGAAACCCAGGCTAATTTTGAACTCATGATTCCCTTGCCTCAAACTTCCAAAGCTCTTTTTTTTTTTTAACAGACATCTGCCACCATGCTCAAATCAAATTTCGGAAGCTTTCGTGTTTCTGGGTACTTTATTTGTCTTTCAGATTCTTAAGAAACCTGTTTCTCAAAAGATTAGTAGTACTTCTACAGGCAGCCTTGGCAAGTCTCCAGATCACTTAACTCACTTTCATTTTGTATTGGGGATTTTCTTCAACAGAGGAGGTGTCTTAGTTAGAGTTTCTATTTCTGTGAAGGGACTCCATGAACATGGCAACTCTCAATAAGAAAAAGCATTTAATTGGGCCTGCTTACAGCTTCAGACATTTAGCCCATTATCATCACGGCAGGAAGCTTGGTGGGTAACAAGCTGGTAGACATGGTCCTGGAGAGGTAGCTGAGAGTTCTACATCTGAATTGGCAGGCAGCAGGGAGAGACAGACACTGGGCCTGCCTTGAGTATCTAAAACCTCAAAACCAACTACCAGTAGTGACACACTTCCTCCAACAAGGCCACGCCTACTCCAACAAAGCCATGCCTCCTAATAGCGCCACTCCCTATGAGCCTATTGGGGCTGTTTTCATTCAAACCACCATAGGA